TATTAATGCATAGCAGCTTCTTAGTAATCTCTCAAACTGTGAAAGGTTATATCATTTGCATCTCTGTACCGTTGGCATATAGATAGGTAGTAAGTATTTTTCACAGCATAATTTTATAATTGGTCAACATTGAGTACTGCTGTTATAGGTGCGTGTTAAACAATGAATGCTAGAGTTTTCTGACACCTTGCTGGAAAGTCCAAACAGCTAGACAAATCTTTGCTGACTGAGCAGTCACGTTGGTCGACTGTTAGTATCTGGGAACTCAAGACTTGTTTTGCTTTTATTACTGTGTTTAAGGTTTCTTAACTGAAAGGCTCTGGAGCATAAGGAAATGCAGGGGTGGCGGTGGGAAAGTGACGAAGAGGTGCTTCAGATTTGCATTTTCTTTTAAGAGATTTCCGTTCTCAATATAGCTGACTCTTGTAATTTCTCTTAAAGATTGGTGCCTGGCCAAAAATGCCTGTGAAATAGCTGTGGTTTAAGCTTCAACTATAGAGACAGGCAGGTGGATGATTTTAACAAAAGTGTTGTCTTTATTCCTACTTTATATTGTCATACTTTTTGTCGTAAAGTATTTTTTATACTTTCTGTACTGTCAGTGACAATATAAAGTAGGAATAAAGACAACACTTTTGTTAAAAAGCATATATATATATATACATGTTTATCTCCCCCTGCAGTTATCTTTGTCTATGTGAAGATATTTTATTTCAACAGACGATTTAACTGGAAGTCAGACTGCCAGCTGATCATTTCTAGGAAAAGCATCCTTTGGCCTGTGGCGCACCACAGTGCTGGGGTGTGGAATTCACTGGCCAAAATTGCATAACAACTCACGTGCGTTTTCAGTACTATCTTATTGTATACTGTGCCTGATGCTGCTGTTAAGGAGATTAAAGGAACATAGAGTAGAGTGGAGTCGGTGGGGGAATTCACGTACACATACGACAGGGAAGGCTTTAGTTACATCAATGAGAATGTTTTTGACCACAAATATAGTATATTACATAAAAGTAAGAGCTTGGAGTTTGTATTTAAGTTTATTTATAAAATTTGTTTTATTTGTAAACATGTAGTATATAAAAGAGTGAGTTGAAAATATAAGACTTGTATAAATGTGAATAAGTAGTTTTAAGACAGGAAAAATCTTTGAGGAGAACTTGCGTTGTAAAGTAGAGATTGGAATACACATTGTTAGGACAAGGGAGAAAGCCAGGGGAAGATTTCGTGAGAAAGTGGATATTAAGACTGTTATTTGTGACCTGGACTTGTTTTGGCTCTCATAGGTCGTGCTGACTCTTAAATTAGAAATGCAGCCTCTTTCAAACCATAAACGTAATTGAAAATGGTCATTTTAAAATTTGCTTTCCTGGGTTCTCCATTTTGTTTTCTTCAGGTGTAAAAGCATGAGTATTCTATTTTCAGGAGGATGAGGAAAAAAATCTAATATCTTTTCTAGCAGTTTGACTGTTTCTATGGTTGTTTCTGGCTCCGTCAATGGAGAGGCATCTGTACCGTGCATTGTATCATGCCCGGCAATTTTTTTTTTCATTTGAATGTAATTGTTCTTTAGCAAATAATTGCAGTCCAGAATGACTTTTATTGAGCTTGATTGAATTAGGGTTATGTATGAAAATGAGTTAGTTAAAGCTTAATCTTTTACCCAGAGAATTGATGAAAACATCAGAAAAGCAGTCATTCATGGGGATTAAATACTCTTCCGTGTAAGTGGACAGCATGGTTGCCTTGGAGTCCCTTCTGCACTGACTAGGTGGTAGTGACATCAGGGTGCAAAACACACCGTGTTGGCATCGAAGGGGATTTTGCCATGATGTGCCTTTGAATGTTATACTGGACATTAGCACTAATTGGGAGTCTGCTCATTGTAAGAAGTGGCGCCTCACCTTTAATAAGCTTTTCAAAACATAGCACCCCAAGGGGCAATGTGTCAGCTGTGCCAGAACGCCAGTAGCTTAGGGATATTTCAGTGCTTGCTCAGGCCAGCTCTTTAAGATAGGTTTTTCAGATGCCAAGTCAGATGCCCTGTTTGTGGTAAGAGGTAAATAATAGATGTCTAATAGGTAGCTCTCCCACCGGCCATGATGAAGCTTCTCAGAGGGAATGCTGAGCTGTGCCGGCTCAGGCCTGGCCCGGTGTGCCTCCTGTGGGAGGCAGTGTCATAGGTGGGAAGCAGAGGCTTGCAAAGGGAAAGGGAACTGGTTCTTAATGCGGCTGTGGAGCTGCATCATGGGCAATCAGGACTCCAAGGCCCTATTGATGGTGAGAGTGAGAGCTGAGAGGAAGCTAAAGTGGGACCTGAACACAGACGGTGGCTCAGACGAAATCTGCGCTGGCTTTGGTCCAAGGGTGCATTCAAGGCGCCATTCTGCAGGACGTATTCACACTTGAGGCTTCTCCCCCTGCTTGCCCACCTGTCCCTCTGACACATCACACACCGCCCATTTCCATCAATCAGATCGGAACACGTTCTGAAGTGCTTGTAACTTAAATGTGGAACAGCTTATGCTGAAACTGATTTGCTGAGGCTGCTCACGTGGCCATTTGTAATAGCCAGATACAACCTGGAGTCTCTGAGTTTGCCATCAGAGAACTCAAAAGGAGCCTGTCTCAGGCAGCACCTTCAGCCTTGAGATTGCCCTCTGCTCTGAGGCTGAGTCCCTGGCCTCTGTCTTAGTTAAGTCCAGCACAATTTATTCGTTATCCTGTGAGTTTTTAAACCCATGTTGGCCATGGCAGAGCCAGCCTCTCTCCCCTCCCTCCTCACTTTATCCATAGTTGTATCACAATTGATAAATTATTAAACAGTAATCAGAATAAGGTGTAGTTATGGTCTACTTTGGGGTATATATCTGATATAGAAACAAATCTATAAAGGTACCTGAAGATTTGTGAGAGTTTATTCTTGAGCTCTTAGAAGCTCTGTATATAGGATGTATTAGCATATTTTATTTCTCTCGTAGCATGTGCTCACTTCTTAAAAAGTAAGCAAATCTTTAAATCAAAATAAGAATTAAACCCACACTGTTAAAAATTAGTGGTGGACTCTCCTCTCCCAATTTTGGCAGTACGAATTTTATTTATTTTTTTAGTTTACAGCAATTTATTTACCTGACAATGATTTATAATTATTTATTTACTTCATGATTTTTACTCATTTATTTTAATGGTTCTTCTCTATACTGGTTTTTATGGATTTATATGAAGACAAAGTATGTGAATAAATACATGAAATAGTCTATGTGATTTTCTTAAAAAACATTTTTAATAATGTTAGTCGCCTATTTTATGATAATTAAGAGTAGACTTTTACACCATTATTGAGTCAGTTTTTGGAATTGTACGCTTCCTTAGTAAAAACATAGTCACTTAACTTAAAAGTATTCATATGTGGGCCAGCCTGGTGGTGCAGCGGTTAAGTTCACACGTTCTGCTTAGGCGGCCCAGGGTTTGCCAGTTCGGATCCTGGGTGCAGACATGGCACTGCTTGGCAAGCCATGCTGTGGTAGGCATTCCACATAAAGCAGAGGAAGATGGGCATGGATGTTAGCTCAGGGCCAGTCTTCCTCAGCAAAAAGAGGAGGATTGGCAGCAGATGTTAGCTCAGGGCTAATCTTCCTCAAAAAAAAAAAAAGGTATTCATATGTGTTCTTTGTAGTTTGTTTCAAAGATCTGGATTTATACTTTTATCCATACCCTTGTTTTAAAAAGTATGGATGAATGACTGTTATCTTGTTTGAAGCCGCATGAGACCATTTAATATTTTATTCATTCTTTCCAGCTCTTGTTTTCTTCAGTAGCGCTGGGTGACAACTGAGTCATCTGATTTGAGATAGGATTACTCACATGAATCGTCACACACGTTTGATATTGAGTGTGTGAGAGCCGGTTCTTGCATATCGCAGTGACTGATAGGGCAAAAAAACTTCAGCCAAGCCATAAAATGACTAATCGTATTGATAAAGCCGTAAGTCAGTGAGTGACACCCGATTTCTAGAGTGTGTTATAGCCTGCTGGTGGCAAAGGGATCTCTTGTGATGATCTGAAGGGAGCAGGAAATGGTCTGTCTTAGTTGCGTGTGACCTTAGCGTTAGTACTGAAGCACACCAGACACTAAATGAATGTGTCCCACGTAGAAACTGAAATAATTTAATTCTTAAAAATGATACACTGTAGTTGCAGGTCTGTGTTTGCAGTATTATTAATGTAAAATGTTCCTTTTCATTTGTGTGGACACCCTTATGCTGATTTTCATCCTCTGTCCTATATTTCCTTCACCAATTGTAGCTAGAAAGTAATTTTTTGGTAACGGTTTTTCTCTATTTGTGTGTCTCCCGCAATCCCCATCTATTAAAAAAAAAAAACCTTGCTTCATGCGTTATCGTTAAAACATATAAAAGATAAATTTTAAGATATTAATACCCAAACCATAGTTTATCTGGTTGGGTTGGGCCAGTCATTTAAAATAATTTGAATTAAAAAAAAAAACAAAACTTTCCCACGTCTCTGCCTTTGAGTGTCTGCCAAGCTCAGGTGCTGGTGGCTGACTCCTTTGCCGTAGCAGGCTCCGAGTAAATAGTGCTCGTTCTCAAAAAAGAAATAAGTAAATGACTGGAATTTAGCCAAAATGTCAATTTAGCGTTATGTTTTTCCAGGGGATTTGACTGTCATTCTGCACTTGATTTTAGCCAAAAAACTGAGAAATGATTGGCTATAATTCTTTGTAACTTTAATCTTACAATTCCCATTGAATATATAATTTTAGTGACTTTTTGTTAAAGTTGACAATGAACACTTTAGGCCACTTTCTGTAAATAGTGTTGGCATAGGGGTTTTTAATAATTTGCCTGGTTTTGAGTGTTTGGCTGTTAATTTGTTTGGGGGGCGGATTATTTTGCTAAAGGACCGTAAGTGTCAACCTTGTTTGAAAGGCCTTCGTGGCTCACCATTTTAACCGCTTTGCTCTGGGTCTTTCACAGAATCCTGCTGCATCACAGAGGCTGGAAATTCTGATGTTCCATTGAAATCACAATGGAAAGCCTTGACTTGACGGGTAAGAGAGGCACTGGGGGTGCATCTGACTTACTGACCTGGCGGCGGTGAAACAGTCACAAGCTATGTGCTGGCGGAGCTGGTCTCAACTTCTTCCCGTTTGATGGGTTCACCTTCCCTGTTGATCAGGGAAGTGTGATAATTGTGTATTTTTTCTTGTCATTTTATTATTACTATTTAAAGCGACATTGTAATCTCCATCACCCAGTAAGTTATATTTTCCTTTAAAATCATGAATTTTTAAAAATTAACTCTTTCAAAACGTTTGGTTTGTTTCTCCACAGTAATATATTGTTGGTGAAAAGTCGATTTATTTAAGTCCTGAAAATATCTAGAGGTTATACACGTAAATAAATGTTAAATTGGCCTGTTCCCCAAAAGTTGTTTTTTGTACTGCCTTTGGCTTAAACTGAAAAGTTAATCGGTATCAAAGCATTATGGCTGGTTTTGTTTTGTTTTGTCCGTATTAAAAATAATAGAGGTGTATATAGCAACGTCATGAAACTATTTTGAATATGAAAACCACCCAATGAAGAAAAAGTTGAGATTGTAAAATATATACGTGACAAATTATATCAAACTCTGAAACTCACAGATACTGTAACTCTGTCCTCCTGTACATAAGCTATTTCAAAGCTGTTTCTTTAGGAAAAAATTTTTTTAATGGTTTTAAAATGCGACACTATTTTAAGATTGATTTTAATAATGACTCCTTACATGCAGAATTTTCTCCATCTGGGAATAAAAATCTGTGAACTGATGACTTGTAAAACCAAGGAATTTGATGTAAATTAAAATGAAAAAATATAGTAAATATTGTTTAGTTGCAGTTTTCAGGACATGAACTTATTCTTTAGTTTTCTGATGAACTGAAAATTAAGCTTCAATCCTTTCTGTTTTTAAGTATTTTGGTTAGCTTATGAAATCGGTCTAGAATATCTGTCTGCCTTCTTCTTTTAGTGAGTATATGGCTGAATGTTGCTTCTATGATGCAAGCATACATATAAGGCCTGTGAACCATTCTTCTGAATGCCATTGCCTAAGATTGTACACACAGTAAAAATGTATGCAGTTTGGCTTGAGTGTGTATTTATGTGGATATTTAAACACCAACAAAATCTTAATGTCCGTGAGAAGATTGAGATTTAGTTATCATTTTCCCTCCTCTCTGTGCTGGTAAGGCAGAGTTAAGTTAGAAATACAGATTCTGGATTTAAGAATGGCAGTTAGCATACAGTTGATGGTGGTTTCACTGGATCAGCAGAATAGACTATAGAATATTGAAATATCGATAGTGAAATTTCAAATATGTTCTCAATAGCTAATCCAAAGGGGAGTTGAGCATAGTGAGTTTTAAAGAAAATTAAATTTGTGGCGGTATTTTCTTTGTTAAATTTGCTAGATCTGAATACATAAGTAGAAAGTAAAGCAGGACACTTAATCTGACGTGTTCAGAAAACTAAATCGTTAGTCACCGTTAGCATAGCAGTCTTGACTTAAGTAGCCATCTGAGCTGTGATTTCTGAATGTTAATTAGATTCTTTCACTAAAATATTGTTTATCGACTGTAACCAAAATTGACAAATTCAAATTGCTGTTAAGATTTAAGAAGCTTAATTGAAGATGGCTAATACTGTATACTTCTAGCCAAGAAATAGAAAAGATGCCATAAAAAACCAGGCGTAATTTAGGAAACAAATCCTGGAAGGTGTTATGTGGCAAAAGGATGCCAGGGTCCACTAAATCTAGAAAACATGCCATATCACGCAGCATAGGCAAAGTTATGTTTCATTACCCAGAGTCCCCACTTCTTAGTAGTTTATAGCAGTAAAAGTTTCTCGCTCGTGTTCATGATCTTGCTGAGTCTGCTGCCACTGTGCTCCGTGTTGTCTTTGTTCCTGGACCAAAGCTGAAGGAGCAACCTCTCTGGGATGCACAAGTCTTAGACAGAAGGAGAGAGGAATGATGGTGGAACTGTGGCTCTTAAAACTGAAATGAATGAAAATTACTGCAGACTTGACCCTCTGCAGTTTGCATACAGAGGTAGAGAAGGGAATATCATTTTCATAATAATTTCTTACCTATGTATAACTGGTTACAGAACTTTACCAAATATTATCTAATTTGATTTGAAAGGGAATGAGAAAATGGGAACTTTGCTTTTTCCAATAGTAACATAATAATTTTACTGTGTAATGGTAGCCAAATGCCTCTACTTAAGATTAATTTGGGGGCAGGCCCCGTGGCCGAGTGGTTAAGTTTGTACGGTCCACTTCAGCGGCCCAGGGTTTCTCCGGTTCAGATCCTGGGTGTGGACCTAGCACCGCTCATCAGGCCATGCTGAGGTGGTGTCCCACATAGCAGAACCAGAGGCACTCACAACTAGAATATACAACTAGGTACTGGGGGGCTTTGGGGAGAAGAAGAAGAAGAAAAAAAACGATTGACAACAGATATTAGCTCAGGTGCCAATCTTTAAAAAAAAAAAACAGAAAAAAGATCAATTTTAAGAATGATTATTGAGCGAAAGAATGCAGACACTGTAGGGAGGTTAACAAGTGTATCCCAGGAGTTTTCTAAAGTACTCCACCTGGGGGGCCGGCTCCGTGGCCGAGTGGTTGGGTTTGCGCGCTCCGCTGCAGCGACCCAGGGTTCGGATCCTGGAGGCGGACATGGCACCGCTCGTCAGGCCACATTGAGGCGGCATCCCACATCCCACGACTAGAATGACCTGCAACTAAGATATACAACTATGTACAGGGGGGGTTTGGGGAGATAAAGCAGAAAAAAAAAAAAGATTGGCAACAGTTGTTAGCCCATGTGCCAATCTTTAAAAAAAAAAAAAAGTACTCCACCTGGGGTCATATTCACTATACAGTGACATTGCATTATTGTCTCCTAAGCCTTCTAGAAAATCCCTAGGCATATAGAACTCCTCAGCCAATATTGGTTTGAATAATCCCACAGGTATTATAAAGCGTTGCTACCAGACCTATAATAAAAGATTGCTGCCAGACCTGTGTGGATTAAGATGATTTAAAAATCTAGGAGTGTATAAACAATGCTTAGTTTGATAGTTCGTAGTTCCTCAAGACTAGGGAAAAGGAACATTCTTAGACAGCTGTGGATGCAGAGACACTTAGGCATAATCCTAGTTCTGGCACTTTTTAATTCAAAGAGTTGGGGCAATTATTTAACCTCACTGAAACTTTGTTTTCTCATCTTAATATGGAATAATGATCTCTATCTTGTGGGGTTGTGATAATTAAATGAGGTGATTATGTCAAGTGCCTGGCACATGGGAAACACTCAAAAAATGGTAGTGTTTTTTTGCTTTCAGCTTTTAAAATATTTCATTTTACTTATTTTTATTTTTATTATGGTAACATTGGTATATAACATTATATAAATTTCAGGTGTACATCATTATATTTCGATTTCTGTGTAGATTACATCATGTTCACTACCCAAAGACTAATTACAGTCCATCAGCACATACACACGTTCCTAATCACCCCTTTTGCCCTTGTCCCTCCACCCTTCCTCTCTGGTAACCACCAATCCAATCTCTGTCTCTGTGCGATTCTTTGTTGTTGTTTTTATCTTCTACTTATGAGCGAGATCATATGGTATTTGACTTTCTCCCTCTGACTTATTTCACTTTGCATAGTACCCTCAAGGTCCATCCATGTTGTCACACATGGCTGGGTTTCATCGTTTCTTATGGTTGAGTAGTATTCCATGGTGTATAAATACCACATCATCTTTATCGTTTCGTCCCTTGATGGGTGCCTAGGTTGCTTCCAAGTCTTGGCTGTGGTGAATAATGCTGCAGTGAACATAGGGGTGCGTGTATCTTTATGCATTCGTGTTTTCATGTTCTTTGGAAAAGTACCCAGCAGTGGAACAGCTCGATCGTATGGTAGTTCTATTCTTAATTTTTCAAGGAATCTCCATACTGTTTTCCATAGTGGCTGCACCAGTTTGCATTCCCACCAGCAGTGTATGAGAGTTCCCTTCTCGCCACATCCTCTCCAATGCTTGTTTCTTGTTGTTAATTATAGCCATTCTAATGGGAGTGAGGTGATATCTCGTAGTTTTGATGTGCATTTTGAACGTCTTTTCATGTGCCTGTTGGCCATCTATATATCTTCCTTGGAGAAATGTCGTGTTCAGATCTTTTGCCCATTTTTTAATTGGGTTGTTAGTTTTTTTGTTGTTGAGATGTATGAGTTCTTTATATGTTTGGGATATTAACCCCTTATCCGATTTATGGTTTGCAAATATCTTCTCCTAATTGTTAGGTTGTCATTTCGTTTCGTTGATGTCTTCCTTTGCTGTGCAGAGCTTTTTAGTTTGATGTAGTCCCATTTGTTTACTTTTTCTATTGTTTCCCTTGCCCGGTTAGACATGGTGCTTGAAAATATGCTGCTAAGACCGATGTCGAAGAGTGTACTGCCTATCTTTTCTTCTAGAAGTTTAAAGGTTTCAGGTCTTACATTCAAGTCTTTAATTCATTTTGAGTTAATTTTTGTGTATGGTGTAAGATAATGGTCTACTTTCATTCTTTTGCATGTGGCTGTCCAGTTTTCCCAGCACCATTTATTGAAGAGACTTTCCTTTCTCCCTTTTATGTTCTTGGGTCCCTTGTTGAAAATTAGCTGTCCATAGATGTGTGGGTTTATTTCTGGGCTCTCGATTCTGTTCCATTGATCTGTGTCGTTGTTTTTGTGCCAGTACCATGCTGTTTTGGTTACTATAGCTCTGTAGTATATTTTGAAATTAAGGAGTGGCATACCTCCAGCTTTGTTCTTTTTTCTCAGGATTCCTTTGGCTATTGTGGGTCTTTTGTTGTTCCGTATAAATTTTAGGATTCTTTGTTCTATTTCCGTGAAAAATGTTGTTGGATCTTTGATAGGGATTACATTGAATCTGTAGATTGCTTTAGGAAGTATGGACATTTTAACTATGTTAATTCTTCCAATTCAAGAGCATGGAATA